CTATCGCGTTAATCTCTGCCTTTTTCATGTTTCCTACTGTCGTATATATAGATCTATATACTGTGAACACGGATTTTTTTTCGCCCTCCCCTGCCCACCCAGCAGTATTGGGGTAATGGGTACGGTACCTGACATTGAATTGGGGAAGTAAAGGCGGCGTGGAAAGGAACTGGCCACCCTACCACAAATGCCGCAGGCCCAGGAAGTTGTCTCTCTAACAAGGCAATCACCAATGTCCGGATCGGATGCGGGAACAACTTTACTTTTTACTGTCGTATAACACCTCTACTCTTCGGACTTTTATGACCTAATTGTGTTGCAAGTGCTATAAAACTCTAACCAAACCAAACAAACAAAAAGCAGCACCTGAAATGATACATAATATATTACAGCTTTGGAAATATCCCATTAACTTTCGCGGTCATTTTTTCACTAATTTTACCTCTGACACCAGGCGACCCCCCACATCCTTCAATCGCAAACATCTTGACTTTTTATTCAAGACAGATGAACACATGTCCTATTTTTCATCAAAAGCGAGACAAATGAACTAGCTCTAAGATTAAACCAATAACTCCATAAAATGTAATGACGAGCGCCTGATTTGTCCATGTCGTGATACATAACAGCATGGGCATTTCTTTTGTTTGCCCGTAGAATGCAACAGGCTCTCATGAACTTCCTGGTCAATTTTGTTGAGATAAAGCAAGTTTTATACACAGTGCACACTGCTAGTCGAATTGAGTCGAGGTCAGACAGATTTTCTTCCAGGGGGGGCAAAAACTAGCAATCTGGCACTATACGACACACGACTGATTCGACTCAATAATTTTGAAGGTCACAGTCAAATTAAGTCGGATTCAGTCAAACTGTGCCATAATACATGTAGCAGCTTTTGCTCCTCCTTAGAAAAAGATGTGGTCCTGGCTCAATCAATATGAGTTCGACCGGCAGTGAGTGAGTAAGCTACGTAGTTTCATAGCGTGCACTGACCAGGGCTGCTTCACGACTCGATTCGATCTGATCATGCATTTGACCACTGCCTTTTCTTGTTGTCGGTGTTGTTGTTTTGTTTTTGGGGGGTTTTTTTGTTGTTGTTGTTTTTGGTTTTTTTTTTGGGGGGGGGGTTGTTTGTTGTTGTTTTGGTAAGAATTTTACGGCGTTCGCAACTCCATGAAGTCGACTTTCAGTTGGTGGGAAATTTCGATTTTTGTCCATGGGGGAGGGGGGGGCACCACCTACTCTTACTGATTTTGAACCACCAATGAATATTTAACGTGCGCAACTTGCACACAGGTCATCCGAGATTTTTCGACATTTTCCGAGAAGGCTAGATCTAGCTGCTCGATCTTGCCTTCCATAAGATCAGGGATGTGGCTGAAAGACAGCAGCAAGAAGGAGCCAATGAGTAGCAGTTGAAAGGCTGCAGAAAGAGCCAGGAGCCCACAGGAGGGGGCAAAGGAGATGAGGGGGTAGAGGCAGAAAGTTGAGACGAAAGCAGACGACGAAATATTGTTAGAGAGCAGAAAAGGATGTAAAAGGAGACAATTTTAGAGAAGGAAATTTTCCGGCGCTATCCGGATTCGAAATCACGACCTATTGAATGAGAGGCGAACACCACAGAGTT